TTTGAGTTTGATGGCTTTCTGACCGATTATCAATAACAGCTAGAATTAACAGCGCAAGCGGTATTACATTATCACAACCCACTATCTACTGGCGTAAACACACTGGCACACTCATTCTAATGAATTATGCCCGACATAATGTACATACCATAATATCAGTGATAAGGTTAAGACCTTTTCACCTTATACTCTACTTTACCATATGGATTAAGAGTTTAAATAAAACTAATTTCACGGATTTCATCGCGTTTTATTTTCTTCATTTTTATTTCCTAAAGTTTCGGGTGCTTTACAGCACCCATGGTCACTGGGTATAGTTAGCCCGAGTTACTTTTTAGCTTTTGAATATTAATTTTTAGCCCGATCTACCGCAGAAGGAGCAGTATTTTAAAGTTATTTGGAATCAAACGCAATAAAATACCGTTATTTAAACTTATTAAATATCTACTATTCTTGGTAATATAAGAAATTATTACTTTAAGAGTCCTTTGGTTAAGACACAGATTCAGAGAGAAGAGGTTATGTCAACTACAACCAAACTTTGTAATTCTGTATAAACTTTGGTACCGGTTGTAAAAAAGGGGTGAATAAAATTTTGAGTATTTGGATATTAACACGTCTATGAAAAGACTTATTATGTATAGATATAAATAAAATTGAAATGTCTATCCGTAATTGCATGTTACTAAGACTTTAATAACCAGTTTTATGGTGAAGTGGGCACCAAAAGCATATTTTTCACGCTTTATAAATGCGAGAAAATCAATTTTTTGTCGTTAAAAATTAATAAAATTGGTGGTATTGGTGTAAGAAATATTTTATTTTCCATAGATTTTAGATAAAGTAGACCTGTGCTTTGCTGTGGAGGCAAGGCAAACGTGACTAACGCTCTGTCCCTCCGAAAATGTCCCACTGGAAGTTAACCAACAAAAACAGTGGGATATTCCGTTGATACGGAGTGTCCAGAAAAAATTATTTCAAAATTTCTACAGTCAACAACATCAGGCTCGCCTTCTAGCTGTTTCGACTAAGGAATCTAGCCACTGGTTACATGCTCTACCATCAAGTAATCTCGGCACATTGCTTGATGGGGAAAGCTTGCGCATCGCCGTAGGAATCCGGCTGGGAGTGGCAATTTGTCAACCTCACCAGTGCCCCTGTGGTAGCAGCGTCGATGAGTTTGGGCTCCACGGACTTTCATGCAAGAAAAGTGCAGGTAGGTTTTCTCGTCACGGTTCTTTGAACGAAATCATCCGAAGGGCTCTTATCTCCATAAATATCCCCTCGGTTTTAGAGCCTTGCGGGATATTTAGAGACGATGGCAGGAGACCCGACGGTATGACTTTGGTCCCTTGGGAGAGAGGTAAAGCCCTAGTGTGGGATGCTACTTGCGTTGACACTTTGGCGGCCTCTTATCTCAAGGGTACCTCTTTTAGAGCCGCGGCGGCATCAGAGGCAGCTGAATTTAGTAAATGGCCCAAACATGAGTCTTTGAGAAATGACTACATATTTGTGCCATTTGCTGTAGAGACTATTGGTCCGTGGGGTCCACGTCCAGTTAAGTTTCTAAAGGAATTATATCCACGACTGGTCGTCGCTGCTGGTGATAAGAGGGCTGGTTCTTTCCTCGCTCAAAGGCTAAGTATTCTTTCTTTCTCTAAGCTATTCAGCGAGGAAACGCAGCCAGCGTTCTTGGCACTATACCACGGGGAGCAGGTCTTTTTGACTATTTAAATTTTTAGTTTTAGATTTTCTATATAATAGTTTCTTCTTTTATATTGTATATAATTAGTTTTAATCGTAAATATTATAATGTTAATTATTATTTTAGTTAAGTTCATTGTTAAATTTAAATGAAATTTATAAAACATTTGTCTGTCTGCCCGTCCGTCCGTCCGCCCGGACCATTCTTTGGACGACTGGGTGGATTGTGACGAAACTTCACAAACAGGTAGGGAGCAACGCCGGGAGTGATCTAGGTTCCATGTTATCCTAATAACATGATTGATTGAGATGATTTTTATAAAATCGAAACATTGCTTAACGTTTTTGTCTAAATGATTATCTCATAAATCTTTAAAAATATTACAAAAGTTTTAAACAAAACTTTTTTGGCTTACTATTAAAGTTTTGATACCAAATAGTTTATTAACATATTGTTCCGCGCCTAAGTTGACGTCATGTACCCGGCACTAGCGCCATCTAGTATTGAAACGAAGAACTAAGCTTCTAGAAGCCTGACACTCGAACTTTCGGCGCCTTGTCGATTTGTGCACGTATTTACTTGAATATTCTGTATGTTTCGGTGCTAATGTGTATTTATAGGCGCTGCAAGATGCGATCGGGGAAGTATTGAATTTGGCGAGACAAGCGAAGCTTCGGAGCGAAATAAAGCCAATCAGTGTGATTAATTATTAGTGTTTTAAGTTTTAATTAGTGTAAAGTGAATTAAAGTGTTAATTTTGGTAATTCAATCGGCAGTTTTTTATTGTCACGAACCTCAAGCTCGTAACAATTGGTGTCAGAAGTGGGATCAAATCATGCCGATTTTACGCTGGACGACCTCAAACTTGGGGATGGAACAACAGCTCCCGTAGTAGCTACAACACCTTCGCTACGTGGATTCAAAGTGCCGCCGTTCGACGGGACTTCTTCCTGGTCGACCTACAAAATCCAGTTCGAGGCCGTTATGGAGGCGAACGGCTGGAATAAAAGCCAAGCCATGACTGCACTCACCCTAGGCCTACGCGACCAAGCCTTAACTATGTTGGAAGCTGTCGGTAAGAAAGTGACCTATGAGCAGCTCCTTGAGGCATTGGAGGCGAGATATGGCGATGCTCATCTGGAACACGTCTTTCGTGCGCAGCTTAAAGATCATCAACATCAACGAAAACCTGCAGCAGTGGGCTCTAGAGGTGGAGAAGCTGGTGCATACATTGAAGGGAACCTGGTACAGACATTTATCGACGGCATCCGCGACCTGGAAGTTAGAGCTGCTGTGAGGCTCGGACACCACGTGACACTCAAGGAAGCCTTGGTCCATGCACTGGAGGTTGAAGCCGTGCGGCAGGATCATCGTTCCCATCGCGTCAGGGAGGTTGCAGCAGCTATGGTTCGCGACCGCAATAACGGATACAGCCCTAGGTGCTGTGGCTGTGGGGAAAGGGGCCATCTTCGATCCAGCTGCCCTAAGCGAACTGTAGAAAGGGAAGGTGAACGATCTCAGAAGGGAAGTGCGGCAAACATCACCGCCCAGCAGCAGCCGGGATACGACTTTACTATCAGACATCGCAGTGGGAAATCTCATGGCAACACAGATGCATTGTCAAGAAGACCTTGTCCTGAAGATTGCAAACATTGTACTAGGCAAGAGAGTAAGGAAGTGGTATCCGTGAGGATGCTCAGGACAGACCACCTCAGCAACGAGTGGAAAGACAGCCTACGACATGCACATCAGGAAGATCCGGACATCAAGCCGATTCTAGAATGGATGAAGGCCCGTGCTACCAAGCCTAAGTGGAGCGACGTCTCAGCGATGAGTTCAACCACGAAAAGATATTGGGCCCAATGGGACAGCTTGCTGATTCAGGATGGAGTCCTGTGCCGTAAATGGGACAATGGTCGAAGAGACAGCTGTCGTTTGCAAATGGTTGTCCCTAAAGCTAAAGTGCCGAATGTTCTACAGCTGTTCCATAATGGTCGTTCAAGAGTCGATGTGGGAGTTAAACGAACTCTACTGAAGGTCCAAGAACAGTTTTACTGTGTCCATTATCGTGACGATGTCGAGGATTGGTGTCGTACATGTAAAAGTTGTGCGGCTGTGAGGGGACCTCAGACACGTAGTGGAGGAGCATCGAAATTGTACAATGTTGGTGCACCATGGGATAGGACAGCCCTTGACATTACGGAGCCGATACAGAAAGGCGCAAGAGGGACTCCTAAGATCGTCCATGTGGATCGCTTGGCGCGTTATTATGGGGCCGATAATGCTCGGGACGAGCATGTCTTAGGAGGGGGCAGTGTTGCGCGCCTAAGTTGACGTCATGTACCTGGCACTAGCGCCATCTAGTTTCGGGGACGAGAGCGATGGGAGCTTTCCAGAAAATGACATCACTAATCTTTCAACCGACAGCGCCTCTAGTATTGAAACGAAGAACTAAGCTTCTAGAAGCCCGAAACTCGAACTTTCGGCACCTTGTCGATTGGTGCGCGTATTTACTTGAATATTCTGGATGTTTCGGTGCTAATGTGTACTTATAGACTCTGCAAGATACGATCGGGGAAGTATTGAATTTGGCGAGGCAAGCGAAGCTTCAGAGCGAAATAAAGCGAATCAGTGTGATTAATTATTAGTGTTTTAAGTTTTAATTAGTATAACGTGAATTAAAGTGTTAATTTTCGTAGTTCAATCGGCAGTTTTTATTGTCACGAACCTCAAGCTCGTAACAATTTTTAAATTTAACACCATTTTACAATAAGACTAGTGTTAAAGCGTAAGGTACTAACTTTGATTATTTCATGTATATAATCAAAAAAGTAATTAGACGTTTTCTGTGAAATTAAAGGTACATGAATGCTCATATTATGTTTTTCAATATCGCGGGTAGGTTTATAACTAATAGGACAAAACTGAGTTTAAAGTGGTTCGTCGATAATTAAACCACTTGCCCAAAGACCACTATTTATTATAGATCTACAGCTGTGCAATTAATCATATAGTGGCGCAGTAAAAATATCCACTGCTAACGTGCCGTAGCTGTGGGAAGAGGCGACACAGAGAAACGGAATCAGGTGCTGGACAGCGTCTTGTTGATAACAGCTCCAAATAATGCAGTAGTTGCAAGCCCACCAAGCGTGGCAGTTGTAGCAATTTATGGGGGCGGCCTATGTTCAGCAGTGTGATTGTAGAGGTGGTCATGACATGGATTGATGGAGCTGGGTTATTAGTTAAGCTCTACGGGGACCAAGTCGCGGTTTATTAATAACATAAGAGATATTACATGTGTTGTTGTGAGTACGTGTGGCACGCGCGTCTGCATGTGTGTGCGTGTGCAGGTCTGTGGGCGACAACGAGTTGGAGGAGCTGGAGAGGCTGGGCGGCGCGCGGGCGCTGCGCGTGCTGCACGCGCCGCGCAACCGCCTGCGCCGGCCGCCCGCCGCGCCTGGCGCTGCTGCCGCGCCTGCAGGCGCTGTGAGTCCGCCCGCCCTGCCACCTGTTTTACAGAATCAATCTGACTTATACGTGGTAGAACCACACTGCAGCTATATTATGGTTGTAACACGAATGGGTTGGCTCGAACGGAAGACCACGCTCTCACAGAAAACCAGTGTTAACTAGTTCATGTGATGAATGTAGAGAACCGGAGATCCTTTTTACTGGAAACGAGGCATTCTATCTTAGTCTTCAGAGATGTCAACGTAGCTGCATTTAAACTGCAACACAACGTTAGATGGACCTGTTGCAGCAGAAACAAGTAAAAGATTGATAACTATCTGTACGGACTCGTAGGTTGAAAATGAGCATTTAGTAAACTGCATTCAGTTAAGATTTACTAAATTTAAATGTTTTCATATAGTGGCGTTAGAGTCTTTTTGATAATAACTGAAAAAACTGTGTAGTGGCGGGGTAAGAATTACCACTGCCCCATATCATACAGTGGTAGCAGTGAGAGGCGACAGAGGGATACAGGCAGGATATGGGCAGTAGCGCCTTCCTAATAACGACTTAAAATAAGAAATAAAAATTGTGGAAATTATGGCAAATATGCCGCCAATGAGGCGATCTGTGGGCGCGACCTGTGCCCAGCAGTGGACCTTGATAGGTGGTAACCGTAATAAAAACTGCTGCCTCTCCAGCCCGTCTGTCAAACTGGCAACTGTGACAGTTAGTTCCCCCTGCAGAGGCCCATGCTCTGGAGTGGACTTTACAAGGTTGTTATGTTACGTGCTTTGTGTTATGCTACTTAGCAAAAAGTAACACTGGTACAAAATAGATGCACACACTTACGTGTACTGAGTACGTACCCATCCATTCTTACAACTGGGCACGTGCATAAAATTATACGTAATCAAGAGACACGCAGTGTTAAATCAAAAATCTTATGTACGTGGTAGAGTCATGCTGCAGATATATTAGTAGTATACTTGTAGCACGAATGGGTCGGCTCGACCGGGGAAGGACCACGCCCTCACAGAACACCAGCGTGAAATAGCAGCTTAATGCTGTTGTATTTCGTATGGTGAGTGTAGAGAACCGGAGACCCTTTTTACTGGAAACAAGGCATTCCATATTAGTCCTCACGGGTGATAACGCATCTGCATTTTGATTCGTAATCGAGGATAGATGTAGATGTCTATGGACCGCAGTAACCACTTACCATTAGGTGGACTGTGTGCTCCTTTATCACCCTATACTATAAAAAAAGCTCGATCATTGATATTACATCGTATCACTGTCGATAACTATCGTTATCAGTAACAACAACAGCTATTGAGGTGAACTTTAAATGGATATTACTTGCATAATCTGTCATATTAAGTTTTAATATCGACTCTCTCGTGTTGGTATTTGACGCAGGGAATCCGGTAAGGATAGGTACTAACTGAGGGTCAAACTTACGTCCTGTTACTTGACGGCGACGCTCTTCAAACGCAGAGTAATAATTATTTCATGTGATTCTTACTAAATTACCCTAGTTTTTACCCGACTACCTTAGTTAGTACTACTAGTAGTACTAGTTAACCATTATTGGGTTGTAGTCTTAGTTATGGAAGAGACATAGGATATAAAACTCTTTTACGAAGTCGGTTATTATTTATTATTGCTTTAACTAATGGGCTTGTCTTTCAGTGTGTCAATACTCGTACACACTACTACCAAGACAGTTCATTTTTTACGATCATATGGGTAATAATATTTCTTCGAATAAACGTATACTTCGGCCCCTTTAATGTTTCTTGAATAATCAACAAGCCCTTAATGTTATTTATTTCTCTTCAACAAATAACAAGGAATATATCGGAAAATATCCGCAGTCCAAGCCAGCTCATATCAATTTGAATGTTACGACGTGATTATGTTCTATTGCCGCACGTCAGTATTCTGAGCGGTCATTTAAGTTTATATACGCGCTGATGACGTTCATTTTTATACGACGCTTACTTCGACGATCGAAGGCAATTTTATTTGCGCCATGTATCTCGTCTAGGACGCGCGCAGTGCTTGCGACTAAACAAGTAACGTATGAGTAGGATTGACAGACGTCCTTTATTTTGGGCCCAAAATTGATCTTGTCCTCTAATATGAGATACTTAATAACAGACAAGGCAATAAATCGTATATTCGACATTTCATCTGCTAGTTGAGGTCAAAGAATTTAAAAATCACTTTGTGGTGACGTGACGTCCGATGTTAGTCTATCTTACATCGCGCGTCACCTCGTTATATTGCATATGAACATTGTTTCTATACTAATAAATAGTATTGTTTTTATTTTCATCCTTCACTTAACCACACTAAATCTTCTAAAACATGGTACCTGAGCTGGTAACCCCACGTATGAGCACGCACCACACACTAACCCTACACCTACACGCATGGAGAAAGCTAACGAATATTAATTGCATGTGAAATGTCACTAATCTTCAAATTAACATCCAAACATGGTTAATTACACGTACGTTCTAGAAAATTTTTGCCGAAGTCGAAACTTGCAAAACAGAACCAGATCAGTAAATATCAAGGCTTATTGAAATATATGCCATTTGATGTCAATCAAAAATGTTAATTGAACTTTACACTTCTTTATCGTAGTAATTTTATTTTACATAAATTGTTGCACTTTGCTTTTTGCACGTGATAAGTCACAATATTAATTTGAGATAATATATATTTAAATAACTATTATCTACTCTACTGCCTACGTTGAAAATGACGACTCCGTAGAACAGTGGCTTAGCAATAAGTTCAGCGCTAAGGGCTACTTGTTCAAATCCCGCACGGACCATTATTTTTATGATCTACGAATAATTGTCCCGGAACTGGATGTTTCTTCTTCTGAAATTTATATCTGTAAACTGCCTACACGATACTGGAGAAAATTCTAGTATGGAGGTATCGTTTTACTCTTCACAAATCATTTTTCTCCATACTAAATCATTAACGTGACGCAGTTTCCTCCTTCTTTACTTCTTCTCTACTCATCTTCTTGTTCTTGTGCAGGAACCTGGCCGGCAACTTGATCAGCGAGCTCACGAATATGTCGTTCCCGCCGCTGCCCGTGCTGCACACGCTGTAAGTACCGCTTAGATTTTGTCATAGGACTAATAATTGCTTAAAACAATGTTCCTCTGGCAGATTTTGACTAAGCTAACAATACACGTAGTTTCAGGAGTTACTGTTACTGTTATAGCATATAAGGCGCACTGCTGAATATGGGCCTCCCCCATAAATCCCCATAGATGCCTCATAGGGGGATATTTGTCATAGTTGCCATGCTTCTCAAAGGGGCTGGCAACCGCAGTTTTGTTTATTTTTAGTCGTTGTGTGGAACATTCTGCTGCCCAACTTCTGATTTGTTTCACTCCGTCGGCTCTAACGACACCTACGCAATCTTATGGTATAGTGGATATTAATTCAAATTTTTGTTAGTATTAATTATCTTAATTTATAAATAAAATTATCTGTAATAATTGCTGAGATATTCCCTGGCATATTTCGACTTAGATAAAAACATACGGATTATAGTTCGGAAGTTATCAAAAGCTTTACACATTTTAAAGTAACTTGACGCGAACATAGGCGACAGTTAGACGTAATATCGATGTTCGAAGTAAGTATATCGTACGGCTACGTTCTCTTCTGTTCCAACTTGTAATAGTCGCCGACATGAATCTCTCCCCTTAGATAGGATTTACCCTACGTCTCGCTTGACAGACGGATTTGATATCGCAGAGCCACACGTCTCGCATATTTGACGCTTCTCCCCGTCGTGTCGCCGGTCTTGATATGATGGTAAAAGATGGTTAAATTAAAACCTATGAGATATTTCTGTCATATCACAAAATGGTCTTTTACTAAACTCAAGAGACTAAATGGAGTGATAGCTTCTCTTGCGCCGTCACCACGCGGCAAAACTAAAAAGAAAGTATTACTGACATGACGAATTCAGATCCCAATGTCAACAACATATGCTTTACGTTCATTTGTATTAATGTTTCATGTGGTAGAGCCATGCTGCAACTATATTGTGGTTGTAACACGAAGGAGTCGGTTCGACTATTTCGTATTTCGTATATCGACATTCTATCTTAGTTCTCAGGGGTGACAACGCATCTGCATTTTAGTTCTTATTCATGGGTGGTTGTAGATGTCTATAAGCCGCAGCATTCACTTACCATCAGGTAGAACTGTGTTCTGGTTTGTCACCCTTATTCTTAAAAAAAAGATTGAGACAGAACTAAACTATACGACTATAAATGATACCTAAAAGAAATGTTAATGATAGGGTCAAAATTAACTAAATCTTACTCCAAAGGAAGATATACATTTTTCTTGCAATTTGAACTCTAAAGGTCACTGCATACGTAACGTGTTTTATTCCGAACGGAGCGGGACGTGAATTTTTGGAAATATCGTTGCATATAAAATGTACTTGATATAAATGATAATGCATACGTTACGGATGCACGGACGGCACGGGAACGTGGCATGAACTGGATGGGAACAATATCGTCGGTGACGATGCTTGCCCCGATCCGCCCGGCGCGTGCCACGTCCCGTTCACCTTCTCTTCTTTGCCACGTCGGATGTACGGAAAATCTCCTTTTACTTTTGACGATTGTAGCTTCTTCAACATCTAAAGTAATAGCAATTGATGCTAATTCCTCAAATGAAAAATCCAACTTTCACAACACTAACACGTTAGTTTCGAGTCACTATCACGGTGCGTATGCATACACATTTATTTGATAAAAAATTAAATGTTAAAATTTAAATGGACACCTTAATAATTAGTAGTGACAAAACGGTCTTTAACTCAGTTATAACGAGAAACTGCTGTTCTGCCACAGCCTTTGCGCATTAACCACCCAGGGTCTTGTCTCAAGTGATGATGAATTAAATAGATTTTGGGACGTGATTGGTCTCTAGTTGTTGGCCGGGAGATCCACAGCTTTGTCATATTTATTGGAACGGCAGCATATGGTTGTGTAAGGAGAAGTGGAGCACGCACACACGTGCGGAGGCGGTGCGAAGGTGAGCCAGCCGCGCTCAGTGAGGCGCGGGCGCTTGTCTAACTGTGAATGTGATCGCCGGAGGCTGCGCGCTACACCAATGTCGCTCACTTCTATTTTGCTTTTGATATGGCTTTTAAACAAAAAAATTATATACTTAATGCCCTTAAGCGCAAAACAAATCAAGTTTACTGATTTACGTGTCACTTGCAAAGATAGCTTTGTGTAAAATAAATTTTGAATGTGGCATTTTCTTTCTAAACATTTCTGGGGTAAGCGTAACCTTTGTGTCAAACATTACCATTTTTAACCGACTTCAAAAAGGCGAAGGTATTAAATTCGACTGTATGTTTTTTTTTTTGGTATCTTCAGAACTTTCTTCTGGGTGAACCGGTTTTGATGATTCTTTTTTTATTCGAAAGCTGGTGCTTTTCGTGTAATCCCATATAAATTCGATGAAAATCTAAATAGTAGTTTTTGAGTTATCCTTAATAATGCGTATTTAATTGATTTCGAATACATCGAATTCGGTTGTTCAAAATTTTTAATTTTACCACTTTTATGAAATTGTTCAATGATAGTTTGAATATTTGTCAATGTTAATCTGTCCCCGCAGAAATTTGTATCAAACAAAAATTATGCATTTGAATGGGAACCGGAACTTCAAGGTCTAGTCCTTTCCAAAAAGCAGGCAACGTACCTAAATACAATTCCTCTCGTATTGCCAATGTACCTCTTCTATAAAATTAAAGATTGGTAATTAATCAGGCTCCTGAATGACCAGTCCGACTATCCATTGACATTGTTTTACTGGAGCTATTTTTAATTTCTTATGTTTACGCGAAAACTACACATGTAAATGAAACTCGTTTTTACAGATTGTATCCCCTATTAACTTATTTTATAATCCCGACATTTTAGTACTTTATAGCACCCACTTTGTGTGTTACTAGTTTCATTTAAATGTGACTTGTTTTTGCTGTATTTTGCGTCTACTGCAATCTAATTCGTGTGTTTCAACGTTATGCGATTGATTGATTGAGCTACCTCTGAACCTCCGACGCGCTGCAAGCGCCGTGCCGTATCCACGCAATAGACGAAGCGAGAGCACGCAGCGCAATGCTTCATACAACGTGCTATGTAATTATGTACACGATTTATTGCAAACGTTTCAAACCATGCCTTTGCAACGTTCTAGTGAAGCGCGTGGGTGGAAGACTAAACGATTTATTCTATTTAGATAAAATTATTACGACATCTATCTTGCATTAAAACGCATCATATAATATGTAAATAATATGTACATTAGTTATTAGATATAGAATGTTGAAGATCAACTTCCGAAAAGCTTCTACGTGCAATTTTGAAGTGAAAACTTCTTTAGCATCGTTGTGATTGGAAGTACATGAAACAAAAAAGCGACAGTAAAAAGAGACAAGTTTTTTACGTGGTAGAGCCATGCTGCAGTTATATTAGTAGTATAGTTGTAGCACGAATGGGTCGGCTCGACCGGGGAAGGACCACGCTCTCACAGAATACCAGCGTGAAATAGTAGCTTAATGCTGCTGTATTTCGTATGGTGAGTGTAGAGAACCGGAGACCCTTTTTACTGGAAACGAGGCATTCCATCTCAGTCCTCACGGGTGACAACGCATCTGCATTTTGATTTTTAATGGAGGATAGATGTAGATATCTATGGGCCGCAGCAACCACTTACCATCAGGTGGACTGTGTGCTCGTTTGTCACCCTATTCTATAAAAAAAAAAAAAAGACAGACACAAATTCATAAGATTTATATGTGGGATTTATTATTATGTGGGAGAAAATATGATAGGAAGCATTATAGATTATAGCTCAATGAGAGAAAAAAAGTCGTAAACACCGCCGAAACGGCGTCGCTTACGCGTTTTGTTCAACAAGGTACGAAGGTGTCGTGTGCCTACAGAATAAACAAGCAGTGAAGAACAGCCAAATCTCAACTTCGTAATAGGTAAAATGGATATGAATCTTTTTGTAATTAGTGAGCGATATAAGGTATATCGAAAAGAGTACAAACATTCTAAGGGAAATTAATCTACTCGTCGTTAAAATTAGTGGCCGTCTCGTACGTTAATATATTAAAGTAAATTAATTATATTAATTTACTTTATAATATGCTATTTTATAATTACATTTAATATATTAATATTTTAGTAATAAAATTTTCTTATATTTTATGCCGAAGTTGTAGTTCAAATTATAATATTAAATAAATCATTTACTGTAAAGTATTTGTATTTTATATTTCATTTCATTTGAAGGTTTCACTTCTGTCGAGTGTGAGCTGCACGCATGTTTTTTTTTTAAATAAATTACTTTTCTGGTTGGGATTTTTGAAGTAAAAATTCCTTTAAAATCGTTGTGATTTGAAACTCGATGAAACAAAGAAGCGACATTAAAAAGTGACAAACATAAATCTATAGCATCTAGCGAGAGAATGAAATAAAAGATGGTATTAAATTAGTCATGTTTACCTTGAAAGTAGATCAATTTTTGTTCGATAAAATTACTATACGTATAAAATGAAGTAGATGGCGCTATTGCAAAACTCTTTTACTCGAAAGAAAATATTTAGACTCTACATGCATAAAACAAGGATTGTAACATTTATTTACTATAAAATGAAACTTTTATCTTATATTTTATGCCGCAATTGTGATTCACAATCATCAAATTAAATAAACCTTTTGCCATGAAATATTCCTATTGTAATACTTTATTTTATTTGAAGGTTTCACTTCTACCGCGTGTGTAGGTACTGCAGACATGTTTTTTTATTTAGTTTTGAGATAGGTTGATACTCCACCATCAGACGTTTTAAGAACAAATTTTCTTGCCGCATGGACGTAGAATTATTTTTAGAAATTGAAACTTTTTTTTCAACATAAATCATAAATAAGAAGACTTCTTGAAAGACACTCTTATATTTCATTTACCACTGGTTTGGAAACTTATCTAATGTTCTAGGACATTTTTTAAAATAGAATATTCTACAATCACATGTTAATTAATAATCAACA